CAGCTAATTTCTATTATTTTTTAGCAGAGACGGGGACTCGCTCTTGCTCAGGCTGGTCTTGAACTCTTGAGCTCAAGCAATCCTCTCGCCTCGGCCTCCCAGAGTGCTAGGATTACAGGTGTGAGCCACTGCACCTGGCCTTAAATTTTTTATTTATATGTATCTTTTTTCTTTTAAATATACATCCCAAGTATTATATTAGGTTATTAATAATAGTTTGAATAATTCTAATGCATGGAGTTGGTTATGTCATAGTTTATTTAATCGTATTTCCATTGTTAGGCATTTTTGGCTGCTTACTAGTTTTTACTATTAAAGAACAATGCTACAATTTACATAAACTGAGTATGAAGGTTTTCCCACATTTAGGATTATTTTCTTCATGTAGATTCTAAGAAATGAAAATAATGAGACAAAGAATGAACATTTTCTATATTGTTAAATTGCTCTCAAGATGGATTGTAACAATTTACTTTCTCATCAGACAGTACAAGAGTGACCATTTCACCAAGACACATGGGATTTCTGTAGGCAGCAATAGGTTTCAAGGACATTTCAGAAAGATAAAATGGCAGATGTTAGGAAATAGAGGTAGGTAAGTATCTATAAACTTACTGTGGCCAGAATGAGTGTGGGAGTATGAGAATATAGTGGAAGAAATACCTAGAAAGCTATATTGAAAGCTAAATAATGGGGATCTTGGAATGCTTGGCCAGGAGTTTAGACTTTATTTTGATGACAATGTTGAACCATTTAGAATTTTTGAGCATGGGTTGACAAGATCTATAGTTTAAAAGATACCTCTATAGCTGGGTGGAAGAGAATCTGAATTAGAGTAGGGCCATTGGGAATGAAAAAAAGAAAATATACATATAAAATATGAATCAGAGGCTGAATGGACAGGGCTGTGGGGGTTAAGAGAAGGGGGAGCCCAAGATGATGCCAAGGCTTTAATAATATGAAGATAGGGCCAGATGCGGTGGCTCACGCCTGTAACCCCAGCACTTTAGGAGACCAAAGCAGGAGGATTGTTTGAGGCCAGGAGTTACGACCAGCCTAGGCAACAGAGAGAAAATTAGCCAGACATGGTGGTGCATGCCTGTAGTCTTAGCTACTCAGGAGGCTGAGGTGGGGATTGCTTGAGCCCAGGAGTGCGAGGTTGCAGTGAGCTGTGTGATTGCACCACTGCACTCCAGCTGGGCTAAAAAGCAAGATCCTGCCTCTAAAAAAAAAAATACAAACTGAAAAAAAAAACAATGTGAAGATGGGAATGTACAACCCAAAATAGGGAGCGGTTTTCCCTTGATCTTATTCTAAAATCCTTTTCAGGGATAGAGGATGAAGGGAGAGTTGCGATGGAGGAAGAGAAGAAATTTTTAGACTTGTCCAGAGTGAGAATGTGTATTGTTGTGAGTGGTAGTAAGGTGAGTGGGTGGGGAATTTGGATTTTTCAAGCAAAGTTGCCAAGGTGGAAGTTGGACAGGAAAGTCTATCACTTAGTAGAGGGGTCATTTTTAGAGATTGTGAACTGGAAATCATCAACATAACAGCAACAGTTGAAACTCAAGGAACAGATGAGTTTGCTTTGGTATAGCAAACTCATGTAAGGAGCAGGTGGAAAAAAATAATCTAAGATATGAGGCTAAAGCTGGTGTAGGGAAATGAATCAAGATAGTCCTGTCATAGATGTCATAGAAGTAAATGCAGCACAGAGTTTATAAAGCAGAGAAATATTTTACATTTCTGGCCATTGCATATGCTTTATGGGTCACTGAGCAACTTTCCAACCTCCAACACACTTTCCTCCTCCAATACATGAGCAATTCCACTCATTTGAAAACTTAATGCAGATAATTTCTTCTCTGTGGAGCTGTAGGCAGTTAAGCTTCTCTTCCTCTATAGTCCCATAGCCATTGAGACATGTATTATTATACCACAACATGTTCATGTTGTTTTGTATTGTTTAAAAATATACCTAATTCCATGTTAAATTGAGAACATCTTCAGGACAGGATGGTTTCTTATTATTTTTTGCATCTCCAGGGCCTAGATAATGCCAGTGATGTTGTAGATGCATAGTAAATGCTTGTTGAATGAATGAGTACAGAAAAGAAGTTTTGAATTTCAACACTAAAAGATACAGATGATCTTCAAGAAGAGCAGCTTCAACAGAGAAGGGAACTGAGAACAGCTACTGTAGGAAGCCCCTTAGGGAGTCAGTAAAATATGATTCAAAAAAGATATCACTGGTCCATACCCAAGATGATCGGTGCTGTGAACAGGTTATCAGTGAACCCAGACATCGGTCCCCTCAGCTACTTCCAATGTGCTATACAAATATTATCATCTTCTATGTGTGCCACAACATGAAAAAGGTAGGAAAGCACATTTTTGTTTGTGATTTGTAGACTATGAACTTTCAGTAAAGATTTGAAGGGTATTAATGGATTGAATTTTGTCCCCCTAAAATTCATGTTGGAATCCGAACCCCCAGTGCCTCAGAATGTGACCTTATTTGGAAATAGAGTTATTGTAGATGTAATTAGTTGAATTAAGATGAGGTCATTAGTGTGGGCCCTAATCCGATATGACGGATGTCTTATAAAAAGGGAAAATTGTACACAGAGACAGACATGCACACAGGGAGAATGCCATGTGAAAAATGGATACAGAGATTAGAGTGATGCTTCTACAGGCCAAGGAAAACCAAAGATTGCCAGCAAAACTTTAGAAGCTAGGGGAGAGGCATCGAATATTTTTCTTTAATTTAAAAAAAAATTAATTGGCAAATATTGTATATATTCAATATGTACAATGTGATGATTTGATATATATATGCACATTGTGTAATAATCATCACCATCAAATCAATTAATACATTTATCATGACTCGTGATGTATGTTAGATCTCTAGAACTTGTTCATCTTAGAAAGTTTGTACTCTTTGGTCAATATCTCCCCGTGACCCCCCTCCCCTAGCCTCTGGCAACCACCATTCTACTCTATTTCTATGAGTTTAACTTTTTTAGATTCCACATATAAGTGAGATCGTTTAGTATTTTTCTTTCTGTGTCTACAAACATTTTCTTTCTCACAGCCCTCAGAAGGAACTAACCCTGCTGACACCTTGATTTCAGACTTAATAGCCTCTGGAACTGGGAGATATAAATTTCTGTTGTTTAAGCCACTCAGTTTGTGGTACTTTGTTATGGCAACCCTAGGAAACTAATGTAAAGAGAAACTTCAAGTGTGCTTAAAACTCAACTCCTAGCTCTCTGGGAGGCCAAGGCGGGGGGATTGTTTGAGCTCAGGAGTTCGAGACCAGCCTGAGCAAGAACGAGACCCCGTCTCTACTAAAAATAGAACGAAATTAATTGGACAACTAAAAATATATAGAAAAAATTAGCCAGGCATGGTGGCGCATGCCTGTAGTCTCAGCTACCCGGGAGGCTGAGGCAGAAGAATTGCTTGAGCCCAGGAGTTTGAGGTTGCTATGAGCTAGGATGATGCCACGGCACTCTAGCCCGGGCAACACAGTGAGACTCTGTCTCAAAAAAAAAAAAACTCAACTCTTAATATTTCCTCCCTTTTTCCCCTCTAGAAGTTATATTCCTTTTGTTTATGAATTATACAGATATCAGTTCAATACATATATCAAGGGGCCATTAGGTGCTACATGGGCAGTGTTGAGGATACAAAGACAAGACATAATCTCTGTGACAGACGGGTAAACATACAATTTAAATATAATGCATGAAATGCTGTGATCCAGTATGCACAGGACATTTTGGCAGCACAGAAAAAAAACATTTTTCTCAGTCCAAGGATTCAGGAAAGACTTTGTGGGACAGATAATGACTGAGCTGCTTTTGAAGGAAAAGGAGGGAAAAACCAAACGAGGAGAAAGGATGTTCTAGGCAGAGGGAACACATAGTCAAGATACGAAGATATTAAAGATAAGGTAGTTTGTGTCGGAACTTTAACTGTTTCTACTTCAATATAACTAGAGTGAAAAGTATGAGAGAGCAAATGCCAGGAGTTGAGGCAGGCAAGGACTATGGCATGGAGGACTTGTCTTCTCTCTCAGGGAATTTTAATTTTACACTGAATGATACTAAGTGGAAGAGTTATAAGCCCAGACTGATTCATATTTTAGGCAAATCAGTTTGGCTGCAGTATGAAAGCTGGATTAGAGAGTAAAGGGAAAAAAAAAGAGAGTGTTAAGGAGACAAGTTAGAAGGCTACAGAAATAGTCCAGGCAAGAGGTGAACTAGAGCAGTAACAGAAGAAATGAAGAAGGGATAGAATAAACAACATATATGAAGTAAAATTAGTTTAACTAGTTTTTTGCTTGATCGGACCTGGAGGTGTCTAGGATGAATCCATAGTATCTTATCAGGTGACTATGTGTGCAATGTTGCCCTGTACTGACATGGGAAATCCTGAAGGAGAAGCAGTATGGAAGAGAGGGTACTGAATTCCTTGGACATACTGAGTATGGAGAGACTTAAGATATGTAAGTGGATATGTCCAGATAAGTCTGAAGTTCTGGGCAGGTGTCAGAGCTAGAGCTAGAGATTCAAAAGCCATCAGCACGTAAGTTATAGCTAAAGTTATAAGAGTGGGATGATGGGACCCAAGAAAAAGCAGAATAAGAAGAGTAACTGGTAGAGGACAGCGCTCTAGGGAAAATATCAACATTTAGGTGCAGCAGAGGAATAGGTGTTCACAAGGGAGGCTGAGAAGAAATGATCAGAGAAGTGTTGTAGAAGATAAGCCATGAAAACAAAGTGATGAAGGCAGAATAGCAAGTGAAGAAATTGTGGTAGGGCATAATTTAGGTCGTTTTGTAAGAAGCTATAAAGCTTATCATTGTCAATATCATGATCATGATCAAAATCACAAGAGAGTCTTTGTTGAGTCTCCCTCAGTTTCCTAATTTTAATTAAATATACATTAAAGTGCAAATATATTACCTGTTTTTCACAAGCCAGTAGTCTTTCCCATTAAGGTTTCCATAGCCAACCACTAGTACTGCATGATTCACAATCTGAGTACAGGCTGGGTCATAGTAGACACCTGAGAGGAAAATATGAGTCAGGGAAAAGGGTGAATTCTATATGATAATAAAAGACATCTGAAATATTACTTTTTATTAGACTGTTTTGGATACATATCAAGGTTAATTAAAATGTTAGGAACATGTACTGTCATGCTTAAATGATTTAGAGCTCATAATTCTTTGTCATCAATGTTGTATCTGTCAATTTTCTTGCCAAATTTGGCATCGATCCAATCACAGTTCCCTCAGAAACCTTCTTTGATAAGCCACCACTTTTTCTAGTTATTTTTTTAACTTCTATACAGTTACTGTATTTCTTTGGGTATACAGGTATACCATGTTTCATTGCACTTCACAGATATTGCATTTTTTACAAACTGAAGATTTGTGGCAACCTTTCATCTTTCAAGTTAATCGGCGCCATTTTTCCAATAGCATGTGCTCACTTCATGTTTCTGTGTCACACTTTGGTAATTCTTGTAGTATTTCAAACTTTTTCATGATTATTTTATCTGTTATGGTGATCTGTGATCAGTGATCTTTGAGGTTACTATTGTAATTTGGGGGTAGGGGGTACCATGAATCGTGCCCATATAGGATGGTGAACTTAATCAGTAAGTGTTACATGTGTTCTGACTGCTCCACCGTTCCCTCACTGGCCATTCCCCCGATCTCTCTCCCTCTCCTTGGGCCTCCCTGTTCCCTAAGACACAACAATATTAAAATTAGGCCAATTAATAACCCCACAATGGCCTCTAAGTGTTCACGTTAAAGTAAGAATCACATGTCTCTTTTTCTTTTTTTTTTTTGAGACTGGGTCTTGCTTTGTCTCCCAGGCTGGAGTGCAGTGGCGTAATCACAGTTGCAGTAAGGTATGATGCTTAAGTCTCCCAAGTATCTGGGACTACAAGCGCATGCCACCATGCCCAGCTAATTTTTCTATTTTTTGTAGAGACAGGGTCTCCCTCTTGCTCAGGCTTGTCTAGACTCCTGACCTCAAGTGATCCTTCCACCTCAGCCTCCCAAAGTGCTAGGATTACAGACATGAGCCACTGTGCCCAGCCTCTCTCACTCTAACTCAGAAGCTAGAAATGATTAAGCTTATTGAGGAAGGCATGTGGACTACTGAGATAGGCTGAAAGCTAGGCCTCTTGTGCCAAACAGTTAGCCAAGTTGTGAATGCAAAGGAAAAGTTCTTGGAGGAAATTAAAAATGCCACACCAGTAAACACATGAATGATACGAGAACAAAAACAGCCTTATCGCTGATATGGAGAAAATTTTAGTGGTCTGGATACATCAAACCAGCCATAACATGCCCTCAGGCCAAAGCCTAATCCAGAGACCTTAACTCTCTTCTATTTTATGAAGGCTGAGAGAGGTGAGGAAGCTGCAGAAGAAACGTTTGAAACTAGCCGAGGTTGGTTCATGAGTTTTAAGGGAAGAAAAGCCATCTCCACAACATAAAAGTACAAGGTGAAGCAGCAAGTGCTGATGTACAAGCTGCAACAAGTTATCCAGAAGATCTAGCTAAGATCATTGATGAAGGTGGCTACTCAAAACAACAGATTTTCTGTGTAGACAAAGAGCCTTATATTGGAAGAGGATATCATCCAGGACTTTCATGGGTGTAGAGGAGAAGTGAATGCCTGGCTTCAAAGCTTCAAAGGACAGGCTGACTCTCCTGTTAGGGGCTAATGCAGCTGGTGACTTAGAGTTGAAGCCAATACTCATTTCCCATTTGGAAAAATCCTAGGGACCTTAAGAATTATGCTAAATCCACTCTGCCCATGCTCTGTATATGAAACAACAAAGTGCAGCTGACAGCATATCAGTTTACAACATGATTTACTGAATATTTTAAGCCTTCTGTTGAGAACTACTGCTCAGAAGAAAAGCTTCCTTTCAAAATATTACTGCTCATTGACAATGCAGCTGGCCACTCAAGAGCTCTGATGGAGGTGTACAAGGAGATCACTGTTATTTTCATGCCTCCAACACAACATCCATTCTGCAGCCCACGGATCAAGGAGTAAGTTCGACTTTCAAGTCTTATTATTTAAGAAATACATTTCATAAGGCTACAGCTGCCATTGATAGTGATTCTTCTCATGGATCTGGGCTAAGAAAATTGATAACCTTCTGGAAAAGATTTACCATTCTAGATGTCATTAACAACATTTGTGATTCATAAGAGGAGATCAAAATATCAGCATTAGCAGGAGTTTGGAAGAAGCTCATGGATGACTTTGAGGGATTTGAGACTTCAGCAGAAGGAGTCACTGCAGTTGTAGCGGAAATAGCCGGGGAACTAGAATTTAAAGTGGAGCCTGCATGTGGGACTGAATCGCTATAATCTCATGATAAAGTTTGAACGGATGAGGAGTTGCTTCATAGGGGTGAGCAAAGAAAGTGGTTTCCCGAGATGGAATCTACTGGTGAAGATGCCGTGAACATTGTTGAAATGACAGCAAAGGATTTAGATATCACCTAAACTTAGTTGATAAAGCAGCAAAAGAGTTAGAGAGGAATGATTTCAATTTTGAAAATTCCACTGTGGGTGAAAGGAAGAGTCAATTAATGCAGCAAACGTCATTGTTGTCTTATTTTAAGAAATTACCGCTGCCACCCCAACCTTCAGCAACCAGCACCCTGATCAGTCAGTAGCCATCAACACTGAGACAAGGCCCTCCAAAAAGAAGCTCAGATCATTAGTATTTTTTAGCAATGAAATATTTTTAGATTAAGGTATGTATGTTTTTTTAGACAATGCTATTGCACACTTAATAGACGACGTTATAATGTAAACATAACTTTTACATGCACCGGGAGACCAGAATATTTGTGTGATTCACTTTATTGTGATATTTGCTTTATTGAGGTGGTCTGGAATGGAACCTGCAATATCTCTGAGGTATGCTTGTATTCCTAATTTTTTTCACACATTTTCATCCTTTAGTAGATTAAATGCTCTTTAATGAGGTTTAAAAATATATTACAACCTTCTATTGTGTCTAATACAATGTTCTACTCTTAGTGAGTGCTCAGGACATATTCAGTTTTGAATAACTGACTGTAATATTTTTAAGCCTCAGCTTAAAAAAATAGTTAGGTGTCCTCCTTATATTCCGCTGTGCTACGCTTACGCTATGGAGTCTCTATAGCAGTTCAGAGTGCAAGTTCTGGAGTCAAGTTGCATAGTTTTTAATACCAGCTCGACCACTTTCAGACTGTGTGCTCTTAGGTGAGTTAACCCCTTTAAGACTCAGTTTTTTCACCTGTAAATTAGGGTTATTGTGAAGATTAAATGAGCTAATACACATAAAGAATTTAGCATAGTAGCTGGCATATAGGGTTAATAAGCTTTGATAAGTATTACTTTACTGACTAAAACGAGGTATAAAATACTTATATGAAATGTAGGATTCTGTTCAACCCATCTAAACTTTCAGAGGTGAAATGGGGCAGGACATCCTTTCTTTTAGTGCAAGGGCAGCATATGTAACAAGAGCATAATATATGTGAATTTTTACCACTTCTGTAGAGGAAGAAAGACGGATGACTTGCATCTATACCAACAGCTACAGGCCCCTTACTGGCCACAGCTTCTTTCAGGGCCTCTTCACTGCCATAGGGAAGTTCAGTGTACTTTGAACATGTGGCAGCACGATTTTTTGAGTCATAGTGGCACTTCCCATCCTGCAAAAAAAAAAAAGTATAAATCAGATTAAAAAGTATACTTCACTTTCCTTTATGAATCACCACTATCCTAAGTCCAGATTTCAAATGTTTTCTCTCCCCACTTTAGCCTTTTCAAGTGTCTAAAGCTCCTTCTTCTTTTTAAAGAAAGAAAAATAGAATCTTCCAAACCCTAACAGTCCCTGGTTTCACTAATAACAGAGGAAATACAGAACTCTTCTATCTTTTAAATTGTGAACATCTTCATTCATGCAAAACTGGCCAGGACAATGTCCCCTCAGACTCTGAGGGGGCTTGTAGGGGAATACTACATAGAGATCATAAAATCTAGATCAGAGATTTAAAATCTTTTTGATCACATAAAGCCTGCAAGATGATCTGCCGTTAAAATGATGGTTTACAAATACCCTATAAAATAGGAAACATTCATATTAATATTTCAAGTGGGAAAAGGGAGGTTACAAATTCATGTTTGTTGTATACACAGCTATGTTTTTTAGATGCTTAATAGGAAAAGAACTTGCAAGAAATAAACCAAAATAATAGTGGTTAAGGTAGGAGGTTTTTGAATATTTTTATCTTTTCTAAATTTTCTGTAATATGGGCATAATACTTATATCATTTAACAAAATGTGTAATGAACTTGCGAAGAGGAGGAAAGCATTATTTAGCTTATTAGCAGGTGGAAGAATGATACAGAGAATAAGGTTGATCATGGGAGGCTGCAGGAGAAAAAAGTTTAAATACCAGGCAGATATACAGAAAGAATTTTAAGGATAGTTTGCTTAAAGCCTGTTTTTAAGCATGAATGCTACTTCCTTGTTTAAAAACATTGCATTGCACTACTGATACACTAAGAGGACTATTGCATAAGAAAGAGACCTCTTGAGAATTTAGGAATTCCTGATTGGGATTCTCTCACACATACAGCACTGACTCTCAAGTAATCGCCCTGGCGTCCAGTCCAGTGCAGTCAGTCAATGTATAGCATGAAGTCACAGGGAGCACAAAAAGTTTGCTTGAGACACACCATCGCTTTGTAGGGGTAGGAAGCTTCTGAGTCGATGCCGTTATTATCAATGATGTATCGGAAAGCTTCTGTTATGTAGCCACCATGGCAGCCTTCATTCCTGTATTTTTCAGTTGAGCAATCCACCAGGTTCTGTGCACTGAGAGATACCAGCTTTCCTGTTGTCAGCTTCAGCTGTGCTTCCAGAGCCCCCACAGCACTGAAAGCCCAGCAAGCACCACAAGAACCCTAAAACAGACATAACATCACAAAGGCAATCATTTTTGATTTTCTAAAATCAGTAGGGATGACTTCCATAACACAAACTGGACAACTCCCAACTATGTCAGGCCTGTCACTAGTTCCAGGAAGAGCTCCCCCATTACAATTTCCTTCACTCTTAGACAATGGGAATGAAGACTAAATACTTGATTGTTCTCTAGGCAAGGTCTAACCCTGATGGAGATTTGCAAATGGCAAAACTCAGAGTATAATGACCATCTTCAAATATATTAACAAATAGTACTCACTGAGCATGTACCAAATCCCACCGATTTTCACCTAGAAGTAAGGGAGATAGATACCTACAGTAAAGTGATTTTGAGAGGAGCTAGGATGATTTCTTTGACCTAAAATGCGTTTCCTCCTACCAAATGATGCCTGAAACATAAGAGCTTTAATCCTAGGTTAGCATTTTTCAAACATTGTTATCCTCAGAATTTTTTGATCAAAAGATATTTTACAAGGAGGCATAAACAGCAAAACACAAAGCAATTTTTAGTTTAAAAAAGTGCAGTGTCCAGACCCATAATAAATGATTTTTTTTTTTTTCTCTCTCTCTCCCTCTCCCTCTCTGCCTCCTGTCCTTCCTCTCTACCCAAAGGAAGCAAATTGGAATTGCCTTTGGTTAAAGCAAAATTGCTCATTAAAATACAAGCTCCCAGGAAAGGAGCTCATTAAATTACTCAGTTAAGGCTGGGCGCGGTGGCTCACGCCTGTAATCCTAGCTTTCTGGGAGGCTGAGGCGGGCGGATTGTTTGAGCTCAGGAGTTCGAGA